CCCGCACCCACCATGACCATGTTGACCACGAGCTTCATGTGGGCGCCAGCACCAACCTGGAAAGTGCAGGGCACAGGCGTGGACTGAGGTCAGGTGGGAACGTTCAGATGTGCAGCAAAGGTGTGGCTGACGAGGGCATGAGGGGCCGCCCCGCTGCGGGCGGGCTGGCGCCGCGCGCCCGCCACGTGCCAACCCCTCCGTCCTGGCAGCTGTTGCTGCCGAACCGACCAACCAGCGCCCCGCTGCGGTCTGCCGGACAAGGGCGACGCACACACAACATGACGCTAAGGTTTGCAACACAGTACCGACGCCCAAGCAATCCTCCCAAACCAAGGTCTCAAACTGCAGAACACGAGACCGCACACAGTACATTACAGAGGTCCAACCCCTGGAAACAAACAGTTCTAAACAGACTCCTGCCGCAGTCACCCCACACTCACAACCCAGGCCGCGACAGCGCACTACCAAGCGTGGCCCTACCCCCGGTTTCCCGGCAGCTTCCTTCCGGTTTCCGCACCTCTCCCAGGAAGAAGGCCTTCTTGCCCATCACATCCAGCGGCCCCGCCGCGGCGTCGAACAGCGCCGCGTCGCCCGCGCACAGGAAGATCAGCTGCCCCTGCTCGGCTGGCCCCTTGGAGCCGGAGACGGGCGCTTCGAGGAACAGGCCGCCCGCGGCGCGCACCTGCGGGGGGCGGCGGCGGCGGCGGGCGACATGAGGGCGGGCGTGAGGCGGAGCGGGGGCGGCGCGGTCGGGCGCCGGGCGGCGAGGCGGGGCGGCGGCTGCGCGGCCGGGAGCGTGAGGGGCGCGTCAGGCACGCGTGCGTTCCCCGAGCAGTGGGTGAGGGGAGCCCGACGGCACGGGTGGCAGCAGAGAAATTGAAATTCTGCCCCCAGAAACGCTCCGCGACCGAGCAGCCGGCCCCGCCCCAGCCCCTCCCGCCGACCAAGACCCCCGGCTGGGGGCCGGCGGCGCGCTGCCGCGGCTGATAGTAGGCGCAGAGGCAGCGCCCCGCCGCCACGAACGCGAGGGCGTGCCTTTGCGGCGATGGCGCTCGAGGTGTCAGAGTCGACTGTGGACACATCCACATACCCCTTGCCAGGGGACAGCCCTGGGGGGTGCGCACATGCACGCGTGAGAGCGTGCTCAGAGAGCAGCAGCAGACGCAGCGGTCGAGCGGGGATCGTGGGCCGGGGGCAGCCTGCGGCTCGACGGTGTGTGTCGCAAATTGGTGCACGGCTCGCTGCCGGCAAGAGTTGCGGACGCACGAGGCGGGGCCGGCGCATGCACGCTCGAGCCCAACCGCAACCGACTGGATGGCACCAGCAAAACATGAAGTTTCAAAATGCTGGAGCATTGAGGGGGCGGCGGGCCCTCAGGGCACGATTCCGGCCGGCATCGGTGCCAGTCTGATTGATTCACCTATTCACCTTTTGCCACGTCCTCTGCTACAGCCAGGGCGGCCGGGGGGTCCGACAGCATCGCAAATGTGATCTCTGCCTTGGACGCAACCTCGGACGCGCTGCTGGCCACCTTGATCCAGGGGTGGGGGCGGAAGGGGGGAGAAGTGGCGGTGGCGGTGGCGGTGGCGGTGGCGGTGGCTGTCCACCCTCGTGCAAGGGTTGGTGCTGCCGTGCAGTGCACGAGCGGCGGCCGCCCGTCGCGCCGTTGCAGGGCGGGTGCTGCTGCATCGAAAAGCCGACACGGCCGCCGCGCGCGTGCTTGCGCCGCAGCCGGTCTGGGACGCGCGCGCGAGGGGCCGGCGCGGCGTGCGTCGTGCCGCTGCCCTCAAACGCAGCCCACCTCTGCGCCCGCAGCCTCCAGGGGTGCGCATTTTGCGGGATTGCGGTTCCAGACTACCACCTTGTAGCCGGCCTTGATCAGGTTGTTGGCCTGGGAAAGGAGATCAGGCCATTATGTGAGGCGATTGGGGAGCGGCGTAGAGGTTGGCCATGCCGTGCCATGTCGTTGCGCAGGAAGTGGCAAGGTGCATGGCGGCGCGACATGCAGTGGCGAGAGCATGCATGGAGGGGGGGGCATGAGGGAGTTCAGGAGGGATGCATGCGGAAGCCTTCCTCCGCATGTCGGGGCCATGAAGGCACATGCGGGCGCGGCTCGCATGCAAGTGACGCTCGTCGCTGCTGCGCCAGTTTTTGGCCCCAGTGCCCAAGCACCCAAAAAACCGAGGTCAGCCACAGAAGCCCCCCACCATGGCCAAGCCCATGATGCCGATCCCCAAGAACCCAATGGTGGTCTTCCCCGGCTCAGCAGTCGGCACCGCCGCCGCCGCCGCCGCGCAGACCCAAGTACAGCGTGGGGTGACGAGTGCGCGACCCTGCTCAAAGATCTGGGCCGCCGCGCCGCTGCAAGTACCCACGCCCGATGCGGAGGCGGGACGACTTCTGCATTTGAAAAGATGCGCCGTCGCGACTACATGGGATCCAGCGCGCCTGCTGCTGCTGGCACACCGTTGTGCCGAGGACTGCTTGCCTGCAAGCGCCTTCATTGTGTTTAGGTCTTGTGAAAATATTGAATTGCGTTCACTGTGATAGAATCAGATTCAAGCTGCCTTGATTGACGACTGCTGTCACCGCTGTGATCAGTTTTCCAGGTCAGCACCAGTGGGACGGCTGCGCACTGTACAGTTGCAAATCGCTGTGTTTCGTATGTACGGCGCCTGAGCTTTGTAGAGACGTTCATCATTTGGCCCGGCAAAGCAATTGCGTACATACTCTGCTGTACTCTGCTGGTGCCGATACCGGGAGCGACAAGGCGCGACCGGGGGGTTGGGCAGCGCCATGGTGGGCCGGCGCGCGAAAAGCCAAGACACAATGTTCGTGTCAAGTCACAACTATACTGCACTGGTCTGCAAAGTGGTGCACCAATTACCTGCATTCAACGAGCTTCCTGGCCAAGACTTCCAAGCAAGACGGATGCTCGAACCGTTACTGGGCGATATGTGTGTCGATTAATGCACCGCAAATGTTGACCTACAGGTGCGGCAAGCATACCCAGCAGCAGCGCCCGAGCGGCCAGTCGCCGAGCCCGCCGCTGCGCCGCCGGCTGCACGCGACCTCCCGCAGTCCTCCCTGGTCGTCCGGCTCGCTGCGCTGCACCCTGCGCGCCTGCCCGCGCCGCCTGAGGGTGTGAGTTGGTTGTCGTAAATTGAAGCGGATCCCGCCCATGGCCCCTTGAGATGACAGACACCTGGCACCCGGGGGGCTGGATATCCCAGCATCGCCGCGCGAGGGCGCTGAAGGATAGGGCAATCGTCAACCGTCAGTGATGGGCAGCCGCGGTGCTCGCATCTGCCCAGCTCTGCAGGTATCTACGTGCACGTACGGTCTGCGCCATGCTGCGCCGCACGGCGGGCCTGACGCAGCCCCTGCTAATTGCGGGGCTTCCCTCGATGTCCGGCAGCAAGCTGCGGTGCGCTGCGCGTGCCTCCCTTCCGCACCCCCTGCGATTCTGGATGGCCGCGACCGACGCTGCTACGGCCACAGGGACGCGCGAAAATGTCCTTGTACCTGTGCTGGGTTGCATGTGTGTGCTGAAGTTCACTCGAGCTGCGGTGAGACCTGGTGATTAACCTTTCAAGCACTATGTTTGGTCACAGCACTGTACATTCGGCGTGGCAATGCTTGAGATTGCAGCACCCTCACGCATTATGCAAGGGGGTGCTGCGAGTTCAGAAGCCACGTGGTGCTGATGTCGCCGGCCACTGTGAACCCCCCTGCGACCATGCTCAACACATTGCACTAAGATTGACGCAGCAAGCCATGGCATCTCTAGCAGCGTGAATGGGGGTGCATGGGCATGTCGCTACCTTCGCTGGCTGTCGGCTGTACAGCTGTGGGCAGCGGTTGCACATTCAGCTCGTCATCAGGCGTCGCGTGTTCTGCGATGTATTTGGGGTACTTATACATTACCAAGTTTAAGATTTTTGTTGTCACAGAGTGGAAGCATGTCCGCGAAAGCGGTTCATAATGGTGCGCGGCGCGCAAGCATGGGGTGAGAAAGCAGCGCCGCTGCCCTGATCAGCTGTCACTGCCACTCAGGCTTGTGCTGTATGTGAAACAGAGGTGCTTCGAGAAACCACAGGGCCGCTGCAAACAAGAGCGAGAACTAAAGGTTGGCTGCACCGCGTGCAAAACTGTCTCAAAACATCAAAAATGAAATGGTGACGAGCTCACGAAGACTTGTCGAAGGCCCCTGCACTCCAGCGCACGCACAAGTCAGGGGGCCCTGCACGCCGGCCAGCCAGCCGCCCGCTCGTACACGCGCAGTGTAGCGTTCCCCGTCACGGCCGCCTCGCGAGGCCAGGGCTGCCCCGCGCGCAGTGCGCCTCGCATTGTGCACACGTCAATCCAAGCCTGGGGCGCTAGATCTTGTCCACGTGGATGTGGAACTTGATGGCGTTGAGCTCGCCACCCTGCTTCTGTGGACGCACAGAGGCGTGGGGATATCAATCAGGACCTTAGGGGAATGGTGATGAAGATTGCTGCCGTTCGTCCCTCAAAAGTCAGGCACACGCGCACGCGCGCGCTGGCTGTTATCAAGCCCACCGGCTCAAGACCCTTCTTATGCGGACGCAGCCGCCAGCTCGTGGCTCCTTGCAGCCGCAGCCGCCAACCACGCTGCCGCAAGATTTGGACCCGGGCCCACTCACGCCGCTGCCCATCCGCCTGCCACTGAACCTCACCCTCCCAAGCCCGCAACACCCAAACGTCAGGGTAACTCAAGCCCCGATGTCACACCTGCACGTGAATGAACTCGGGGCGCGCGCGGATGTCCAGGCCGTCAGGCTCAAGGGCCAGGCGCGTGTGCCCGATTGCCAGCACGCAGTTGGAGACCTGGGGCGTTCCGAACAAGGATGGGTCCGAATCAGCGGCAGCGTGGAGCGTGGGGCGGGGGTGGACGCCCAACGCAGGCGCCCCTGCGAGTCTCTGCATGCTCAAGCTAGCAAAGTATCCCTCACAGGCGTGGGCCATGCGCTTTCGGGTTGGGATTTGTGCGACGACCGCAGCTGCAGAGGTCTCACCGCGTCGCCGCCGATGCCGGTGAGGCAGGGCACGATGCCCTCCCGGATGCGCTGCGCCAGCGCCGTGCACACCACCTGCACGCCGCTGGTCGCGCCCACCTGGGGCACGTGCGGGCGGCGGCGTGGGCGAGCCCACAGTGTGCGTCGGTGGGAACGGACGGCCCGCGACTTGTGCAACTCGTGCTGTTGGGCTTGCGCCTCACTGGCGCAGGCCAGGCGCACACATCGGAAGCCTTGCAGTCTTCGCGCCGCCTGTCGCCAGCATACACGTGCACGCATGCATGCCGGCGTGCCCGCCCAGCCCTCTGCTTCTCAGGACCCATCTTCTCACCGCGGCGTAAGCGCAACATCACCCGCAGCTGCCCCGCACTCCACCGCCGCTGCCACGTGCTGCCCCGGCCCTGCCCCGTGCTCCCCTGGCGCTGCCCCTCCGCCGCCCCACCTGCATCTCCACGTTATTGGGCGTGATGGGCCAGCCCAGCGGGTGCTTGGCCATGTACAGCGCCACAGAAGGCTTCTCGGGGGTGCCCCCCTCCCTGAAGGCCGTCTGGAATGTCAAATCGTGGCCGTCGTTGGCCAGGTAGCCTGGGGGTTGCGCCCGAGGTTCGAGGCGGAGCGGGTGAGTTTGGGGGTCGCATGGAAAGGCGGGCGGACCGGTGGGGTCATGCCCAGGCGGCGCCTGCTGAGGCGGTTGCAGCGAAGGCGTGCGCAGGCATGTTGGGGCCGCAGCGGTCCATCCACAAGCAAGCTGCCAACAACAAGAGGTATATTGTGCTAGAGGTGCCAGAAATGACAAGAGAGCGCGCTTATGCACCAAGTCCTGCGCCCGGCGCGAGCGAGCTGCATGCGCCCCCGGAATCGCGGCCGCCTGGGGACACCGCGCCCACCCCGCGCAATGGAGACGGCCTTGACCGCCTGGTTGATGCACTGGCTGCCAGTGCACAGCATGGCGGGCGCGTCGCCCGCGCGGCAGGTGTGGGCGACCTTGCCGGCGACCGCCTTGACGTTGCTGGCAGCAGACACCTGCGCTGGGCGCGGGCGGCGGCGACGCATGGCGTCCGTTGATGCGTGCGCGGCGCATGCTGTACGCATGGCGCATCATGCACACACACACCAATCACTTGTGGCTGCATCCTCTCTTATGCCATTGAGCCATGGCTCCATGCTCAGCAACAGTGGCTCGTTGCAGCACACCCACCTTCACAAAGGTGGGGCCACCAGGCTCTTGCGGCGGCATAGGAGCCTGCCCCGGGCGCAGCTGCGGCTGCGCGGCCAGTGCCACTGCCTGCTGCGCAGCTGCAGCCTGTGCCGCCGCCGCGGCCGCAGCGATTGCCTGCCTGAAAGCCGCCTGCTGGGCAGCTGGGTCCTCGGCAGCCGCAGGCGCGGCGACAGCGGGAGCATAAGCGATCGCTGCCGGGGCCACTGCTGCGGGAGCTAAATGTGCTGCCTGCTTGTCCGCTTCGCTGTAGGGCCCAGCGCGCTCTGGAGAGGCCGCTGCACGCCTCTCTGGGCCCGGCATGCTGTGATCAGGCGGTGCACCGCCACAGGCTCACGGCAACAGTAAAAATCGGCACAATCTGGACGTTGAAAAGTACGGTTATGCACGAGAGAGGCGGCACTCAGCGAAGATCTCGAGACTCAGACTGCTTGTGAGGACGCCGCAGCATAAACGTGCGTGCAAGCTGGCAGAAAACGAGTACGGAGTATGCATGGACTGGGATATCGCTTTGCAGGAAACACCAGCGACCTGCCAGGTTGCCGGTGGCCAGGCCAGGCGAATGTGCAGGATGCCGAGTCAGCAGCCGCCCTCACCTGCTTACCCACGTGTAAGCAGGACAAACTGCATCAGGCGATGCCATAACTTACAAAAGGCCATCATTCATGAAATGAATAGCGGCATAGTCATATGTCAAGTCAATGCGTTCTTCTGCAATCATCAACACTTTTTCACTTGAATTCGAATGCACGTCTGAGACCAGGTGTGCGAGTTGATCATTAGCCAGCGTTGAAACAGCATGGTGTGCTCGCAATGTGGCGGCCCCTAGATCGCCACATGCAGCCGGTTAATAACTGGTCGACGGCAGGGTCTTTCCCTGACAGGATTGCAGGTCCAGCAAACAGTGCTCCAGACCGCACACGCATGCAGCACACATCATGACGTATGGCATGCTCTCCATGTTTTCAAGCCCGAATACTGCCTGTAGCCCGACTTCCATCCTGATACTTTTCACATGCGTTGAACTGGAAGCCGCAAGGCATGACCATTACCAGGCATCCTTCAAGACTCAGCCATGGTTGAGGTCACCCCGTGCGGTGCCCACTCGGCCACGCTGGCAATTTCATGCGTGAATGTTGGCAGACTTCCTTGTTTTACAGGTCAACCTTGATCGTTCGCTCTCTGTCAATAGTAGAAGGAATTAGTCTGCACTCAAAAGCAACAAACATGTTCAACGTCGCAACCATAGCAGCAGAAAGGTACTTGCTGCATCCGCGAATGTGTGCCTTCCCTGGGCCTTTGCCTTTGGGCGCCGTCAAACAGGCACCGACCGCCCTGCAAGAGTCAAACAGTCACTTTTGCGTAAAGTGTGCGTGCGGCGGGCCGTCCTGCTGCACGGGCGCACAGAGCTCCCATGCATCGCCGCTCGTTTTGGTGGCTGGCCGCAACATCAAGGCGGCAACAGTCATGTGAACGCCAGGATATCAGCGCCGCCCAACATCCACAAACCCCCCGACCGTGGCACCGCCGAGCCCCTTGCTGTACCAAGTGCCGGCACCAGGAACCCACGTGCTGGCACCATAACCCCACGGCCCATAACCCCAGCCGCCCCAGCCCCAGCCGGGGCCGACCTGGGCGGCCGCGGAGGCGCCAGCCCAACCGGCGCCCACCCACCCGGGGGCGACCCATCCGGCGCCTGCCCAGCCGGGGACCCACTGCGCCGCCGCCTGCTCAGCCTCTCCCTTGGCCGACTGTACCGCAACCTCCTCCTTCGTGGACAGCAGGCGGCGCGCTACTGGTGCGCCCATGGCCGAAGCCAGCATTGCGCCGCAAAGGACGCCAAACACTGAGGGTGCCCAGGAGGGGCGCGGTACAATGGTGCTGTGGTGAGGACCAGGTGGGCTATTCTGAGTGCGTGCTTGGGCGGCGGGGCAAGGGGCAGCATGGTGCATGTGCAGCGAGCACGGCTCGACAGGACAAGCCCAATCAATAATATTCAGAACTGTGCCTTTTTCAAGGCTCCGGCACAACTCACAAACAGTCGTTGCGACGGATCCGCGACCCATTTTGCACCGTTGAACGCCGAATGGGGCGTCGTTTACATTTACGTGGAATACAGATAGTGCAAGACCATCTATGTGAGGTTTTTTGTTTCTTGTCTGGTTGCCCATACACTGTCCAGCGGTCCGGCGGCCGCGGATGCTGCAGAGCAGGTGCCTCACATTCCGGGATACTCACTAGCCCGTTTTGACCCTTGCCACCTGTCCAGGGAATATGTGCCCTCTTCCAGACACCGGTGATGACTGCAATCAATCCGACCCTTGCAGGCGAGCGGGCTCCTCGCTCTGGGCTGGTGATTCCACTCCTCCACTCATTCAGCTGGCCGGACGGGCCGAGAACTTCCTTGAGGTGTGCACCCGTGACTGGCCACTGCAAACCTGTCACAGGTGGCGCAGGATTCCATTCACAGCTGGCATGGTTGAGCCACACTGAAGCCACGAATGGTCTTGGCAAGGCCACAGCTGGTGCACGGGCCCCATGGCCTTCATGTGACTGGTTGGCCTCAAAGAGTGTGGTGTGCGGTACATTAATGCAGCCCGCACCACACGCCTGCCTGCTTGCCAGAGTGGCACGCCTTGAGTGCCTGGATGCACGGACTGCTTGGACAAGGTGCGTCGCAGGCAGCCGCTGCCCCGTCCTGCAGGATGCGAGGAGAGCTCCCCTGCGACTTGCGTGTTCAGGGAAGGAGCACACTGGCAGGACCATGAGCACACCATGACCAACGGCGCATCCTGATGCAATCCCTTCAGCACTGGGCACTGGCTGCGCTGAACATTTTATGCTAGCGGTACATCACTGCTCGTGTTGGAATGACAAGCAAACGAGCAGCGCCGTTTGTGCTCGCCGGTTGGAGGTGTGTGTGTGTGTGTTTGTGTGTGTGTGTGTGTGTGTGTGTGTGTGTGTGTGTGTGTGTGTGTGCGCGCGCGCATGTGTGTGTGTGTGTGTGTGAGCGCGCGCACACGCGCGCGCGCGTGCGCGCGCTCGCACGCTGGGAGGCTTGCTGTTTCAGTCGTTACCGTACTTGGGATAACACGGTGCTTGCGGGGGCGACCCCCTGCTGTGCTTGTTTGTGTGGGGCTGCCTAACCAGGCAACAAGAAACTGGTGGAGCATTTTTTTTTCATCGAGTGCCCCTCGATCATAATTCTCAAGGTTTCTCCAGTGGGCAAAGCTTGGGTGTGTGGTGTGCGGTACACATTGACCCAAAGCGCAGCTGGCCACATTGATAGCAGCTTGTGCGTGACCGGCTGACAATAGCATTTCTGTTTTCTTCGCCACTCGCTTTGCACAGCTATGTAGTTCATCATCAATCCTGTGCATGCCCTCCATTCAACGATCAAATTGCGGATGGGCGTGGTCCTGGCGACCACGGGGTGCACCTGGTGGCGGATGCGTCAACGTGGTGCGGAGCGCGGCGGCGAGCACATATCTTCCCCCAAGTATATGCTGCGCGAAAGAGGATGCAGGTACCAGAAGAGTCAAAAAGTGAGACTCTGGACTGGACACGGCCTGCACACGGACACATGGAGCTCCCTTTTTTTCTCAGTGTCCGCGCCTCACTCTTTCTTCGGCCTGTCGGCAGGTCACGGCGGAGGCCGGTTGGCCCTGCCAGCGTAACTCGCCACCATATATGACGTCGAAGGCCAATGTTGCGATCGCCTTTGACGTTGGCTTACATTTACTCACGAAGTACGCACAGCGCAATCGAGATCGAGAGCTGTGCAACGAAGAGTGTGACGTTCCTGCGTTCGGCTAGCAACGCGTGCGCAAGCCGTACTAGTAGCTGCGACGTGTAACAGAAGTCTATCTCAACTATTTGGAGTCATAGTCGGTCGTCACCCGCTCACCGGGAGGGCAGTTGCAAGTGTGCGGCAAGCAGCAGAGTGTTCAAAGTGAGAGCCGTGAAACTTGAGACATGGACGTGCTGGCCGAGGGCGCTCGCCGCATGGCGGCGGCAGCTGTGGCGCCTTCGGCGTCCCCGTTCGTCATGGACACGCCCAATGTGATCGGCCTCCTGCTCAGCGCCCTAGTCGCCTTTATAAGCGGCCCCGGCGGCCAGGGGGGCAGCAGCTTCTACGTATGCGTGTTCTGCGTGCTGCTGAAGTTGCCCCTTGCAGAGGCGGCCGGCACGGCGGCGTTTGTCGTTTTTGCGGGCTCGGTGGCCAGCGCGCTGTCTGCGATGGGCCGGCTCAACCCCGCATCAGCCAAGCCGGCGCCGCTGATCGACTACGACTCAGGTGCGCAAGCGCATTGCTGCGCCCCCCTTGCGCGCGCCGTTCGCCGCTGGCCATGCACGCAGCCGCGCACTTGCTGCCGAGCGCAGGCTGCTGCGCCAAGCGGCCGACGCCGGCGAGCGGTGTCCGACGATTTCCTACAGACATGAGTAGAGAACCTCGAAAGGGCCCACCGGCAACGCATAAGCCTGCCGGCTTATATCCCATGACATGAAGCCCGCTTGGCAATCCATGAAGCCCGCTTGGCAATACCTGACCTGACCCGCTCGGACACCTGGACGACACGCGGCGCTCTCCCCGCCCACGCTGCCCGGCCCCCTCCCCACCCCCCTCGCTATCCCCCTCCAGTCTTGGTCATGCTGCCGCCGATGCTCCTGGGCATCGCCTGGGGAGTACTCGTCAACGCCGTCCTCGCGGAGTGGTGCCTCAACCTGCTGCTACTGATGACGTGGGCCTGGATGGTGTACACCCTAACGCGCTCCCTCATCCGCACCGTCCGCCTCGAGCGCCGCCGCAAGGCGGCTGCGGCCGCCGCCGAGGAGCGCGCTGCGGCGGCGGTGGCAGCCGGGCCTGTGGACGCAGCAAGCGGCCGACCCGCGGAGGCGGCGGGCGGCAGCACAGAGGCGACCGCCACGCCCAGCGGCGCCGCGGCGGCACCGCTTGCCCCGCCGGCCGCGGATCACCGTTCCAGTGACACTGCAAAGCCCGAGGGCGGCGCGTTCGCAGCATGGGCGGCCGGCGCCTTGCAGGCCCTGCAGGAGTGGTGGGCCGTGCAGTCGCCCGCCAGCTTCGCATTAGTCATCCTGACATTCGCGCTGCTCGTGGCGTTCTCGCTGGCCAAGGCGGCCGTGGCGCCCTGCTCAGGAGCCTTCTGGGGGCTCATGGGCGGCCAGGTCGCGTCGAGCGCCGCGCTCGTCGCCGCCATCACCGCGGCGCTGCTCCGACGCCAGCGGCGGCGCGCGGAGCTTGCGGCGGCTGCCGCAATGGACGCGGCGGGCGCGGCGGCGGGCGGCGCGGACGCCGACGCGGCGCCGGCCGTCGACGCCGGGACGGTGCTGCTGCTCCCGGAGACGCGCGCCGGCGCCGGCGCGCGCCCCACCG